CCCTGAGGATGGGCCCCTGTCTGAAACCCAGGAGTGGGGAGGTGAGAGGGAGGGCCTGGGAGCAGCACCCAGTGCACCAGCTTCTGAGCCCCCCCACCTGCCTAGCCTGGGGTTTGGCCAGCCGGGGGGTGGGCACACGTGGGTCTCACAGACTGACTGGGAGGCAAGGTGTTAATCCTGGAGAATTCAATAAGAAGCCCCGAAGTCACAAGGAGGCAGTAAATGCTACAATGAGGACTGCGGACTCTGGAGCAAACAGGAAACCAGGCTTTGCTTGCAGTTCTAGGAAAGAGAATCTGTTTGACCAACTGGGGTCAAGGATCGACCCCTTCAAGGGGTGTAGTGTGAACCAGCAGAAATATAGCTGCAGAAGTCACCGTTGTAGATGGATGGTTCTGTGTGCCAGGCCCTGTGCTGGGCACTGGTGACACGGAAATGAGCAAACTTCCATGGCCTTCTCCGATAATATTTGAGCTGGGTCTTGAAGAATGAGTAGGCGTTTGTCAGGTGAAAAGGTGGGGCAGGGTGCGATCGGTGAGGCTGCGGAGTCTGAATCTGAGGCAAGAACACCACAGACAGAGAAGGAACTGGCCTGCTCTCAGAGATCGCGAATGCCAAGGCAAGAGGGATCCCAACGGGGCAGAGTGCTAACGTGGTTTGTTTGCTTTTGATACACATCATACTTCCTTCTTGTACTGTCACCCCCACCCCTCCAATGACCCGGCTGAGGCTGGTGACAGTTTTGTTTTGTTTTGTTTGCAAAGCAAGGCCCTTTGCTGCTCCAAAGTAGAGGTTCTGTTGGGAAGGGAGAAGAAAAGGAGATCCGGCAGCAGCCCTCAGCCTCCACATGCTCATTCCCCTTTCCTGTGAGCACCTGACTCCAACTCCACAGGAGCTCGGGGAGGAGTGATGGACATGCTGCCCCCGAAGTTTGCAAAAGTGAAGGAGGCAGGCAAAGGGATGGGACAGAATCCCATGTGAGGAATGGCTATAGGAGAGGACTTGGGGGGGGGGGGGAGAGAGCGAGCTCTGCAAGGGTTTTATGTGATGTGTGCAAAGTCCCAGACTGCTTCCCTTCCCCACCTCATTCTTTGCTGCCATTCCCCAGCCTCACACCCTCTCCTCTCAGGCCTAGCAGCTTAGCTGAAGACAATGCTGAGGCAATTAATAGAGCCCTTTGAGGACTTGTCACTAGAAAGCTCTTTAACTCAGCCACCTGAGTGGGGCCCCAGGCATGTGACAGGGGTGGGGGAGGGCAGCTGCGTGGGTGGGGAGCAGAGGCATAGCAGAGAAACAGGGTCGGGATCCTAAATTACAGGGACCAATAGATGATATGGACATAGCGGTGGTCATTGTTTTCATAGTTTGTGGTTTGTCTCTTACTAGAATTTTTGCTGTGCTAATTTGCTGCAGAACCGAGAGCCGAGAGGTAAGATGTTCAACAAACCTGCTGACTACATGGACTGTCACAGGAAGAATTCCTCTTTAGGACGTAGGCCCCTTAGAGAGGGGACACTGTATGTGTTAGGGGTGGAGTGGAGTGAGAGATAACATGTCCTTAAATCTTCCTACCCCCACACTGTGCTTTTTGGGGGGCTGGGGAGCTGGCAGGGAAGGAGCTACGCAGGGATGGAGAGGATCAGGAGAGAAGAGGAGCCTGGGTCTCCAGGCCTGTCTCTGCCTTCATGGTGTCTCACACAACCATTGTCTGTAGCCAGGCCAGGCAGGGGCGGCAGAGGCCCAGGTGCTGATGTGGATCCTGGCTCCAACTGTGTATAATGTGTGTTACATGTGTGCCCGCCGGGCTTGCCCTCCTGGCCCTTACTCTATAAGACTGGCAGTTGTCTCTCAAAATTCCTGTAGGTTTTGAATGGGCCCAGGCTTCCGTCCTCCAGTTCGTCTGACCACCACTAGAGGACAGCAGCCAACACAGCCAGGCCCACCCAGAGAATGTCAGCTGCGCACACACACACACACACACACACACACACACACACACACACACTTCTCTGACCTTCCCAGCCCCTGGGGATGCACAGGCCCCAGCCACAAAGGCCACTGGGACCACAGAACCAACTCACTGTCTGTCCCTGGCCTTGGGCGCAATGAAGGTGTAAGTCTGTGAGAATGTGAGAAGGTGAGTTAGTGGAGATGCTGGAGGGGACCACAGGTGACAGGAGGTGGCCAAAGCGAGAACACTGAGGGATGCTCATTAGGTCTTACAAGTATAAAGGTAGAGGGAGAAGAAGGAGAGCCAGGAACCAAGCAGTCTGTAGGGAGATAAAGCAGGACCCAGCCCGCTGGTCAAATGGCACGTGATGACTAGGAGGCAGAACTACCCAGAAGCAAAGGGAGGTAGCTTTAAGAGACCAGAGGAAATCACGTGGCTCATCGTTTAGGGGTTTATACGGACGCTACATCATGTAGGCATGATTGATTACTAACTCAATCTCCAGCCCCTTGTCCCCCCCTGGAGGTTGGGGGTTGGGGTTGAAAGTTCCAAGCTTCCAGCCATGGCTTGGTCTTTCCGGCGACCAGATCCCATCCTGAAGCTATCCAGGAGCCCACTAATAGTTCCTTCATTAGAATAAAAGATGCTCCTGTCACCCAGGAAATTCCAAGGGTTTGAGGAGTGCTGCATGAGACACTGCTATCACCTCCACCACTGAGGAAATTACAGGCGTTTTAGGAGTTCTGTGTCAGGAACTAGGGGCAGAGACCAAATATATATATTTCTTATTATGTCACAGGTAGATTTTTCATGAGATCTGGTTTATTTTATGCAATAATAAAGCACATATTATTATTATTATTTAAAATGTTTTTTATTGATTTCAGAGAGGAAAGAGATAGAAATATCAATGATGAGAGAGGATCATTGATCGGCTGCCTCCTGCACGCCCCCTACAGGGGATCAAGCCTGCAACACAGGTATGTGCCCTTGACCAGAATCGAACCCCGGAGCCTTCAGTTCTCAGGCCGACGCTCTATCCACTGAACAAAACCGGCCAGGGCTAAAGCATATATTATTACATCACACATTTAGTTTTCTAAAACATACTTATTTATATTTCAGTTTAATTTTTGTGTTTTTTTTATGTGTTTTAAATTATTTATTTATTTATTTTAGAGAGAGAAAAAGGGGGAGAGAGAGAAATATCAACCTGTTGTTCCACCTATCTACGCACTCATTTGGTTGATCCTTGCATGTGCCCCGACCGGGGATTGAACCTACAACCCTGGCACATCAGGATGATGCTCTAACCAACTGAGCCACCCAACCAGGGTTTGTCTTATGTATTTTTTTTTATCATAGTAAATGATAAATGAAATTTACCACTTTAACATTTTAATTGTACAGGTTAGTGGCATTAAATACATTCACACTGTTGTGCCACCATCCATCGCCAGAACTTTTCATCTTCCCATTAAACACTAACTCCTCATAGCCCTCTCCCACCCCAACCACCATTTTACTTTCTGTCTCTGTGAATGTGATCACTCTAGATCAGCAGTTCTCAACCTGTGGATCGCGACCCCTTTGGGGGCCGAACGACCCTTTCACAGGGGTCACCTAAGACCATCAAAAAACACATGTATAATTACATATTGTTTTTGTGATTAATCACTATGCTCTAATTATGTCCAATTTGTAACAATGAAAATACATCCTGCATGTCAGATATTTACATTACGATTCATAACAGTAGCAAAATTACAGTTATGAAGTAGCAACGAAAATAATTTTATGGTTGGGGGTCACCACAACACGAGGAACTGTATTAAAGGGTCGGGGCATTAGGAAGGTTGAGAACCACTGCACTAGATACCTCAAATGAGTGGAATCATACAATATCTGTCCTCTTGTGCCTGGCTTATTTCACTTAGCATGATGTCTTCAAGGTTCATCCATGTTGTATCAGGTGTCAGAATTGCAGGTCTTTTTAAGGCTGAATAATATTTCACAGTATCTACTCATCACATTTTGCTTATCCATTCATCTGTTGATGGACATTTGTGTGGTTTCCGCCGTTTGACTACTGTGAATAACGCTGTTGTGAACATTGGTGTACAAATATCTCATTGAGTCCCTGCTTTCAATACTTGTTGGTATACCTAGGAGGGGAGTTGCTGAGATTCTATGTTTAATTTTTTAAAGATTATGTGTTTATTTTTATGCATGAAAAGCATTATTCTGAGACGAGAAGCATACCGTATACGTACTCTATTTTTGCATACCTGTCTCGGCCACTAGATGGGGACTTCTTGACAAGAGCTGCCCGGCTCCTTGGGCCGCTTCAGTAACACGCGGAGGTGTAGTAAATGCATTCAGCGCCTAGTAGGCGCCTTACATAGCCTGCACTGGGCGAGTTGTAGGCGATAGAGAGGTGCAGACCGTACCCCAAAGGAACTCAGCCAGCGGGAGAGTTAGGCTCGAGGATGACTGATCAAAGGCGCCCCAACTCCTGCCTGAACGGCTTTCCAGATGTATAACCTGAGCCAAGGTAAACCTTTCTTGGCCCCAGCTACCCCATCCACGAAATGATCTACATCATCGAATCGAGATCCATCATGATCATAGCGCTTCAAAAAAAAAAAAAAAAAAAAAAAAAAAAGAACAGCGCCTCGCCTTCAGCACAGTGCCTGGAAAAAAATTAGACACTCAACAGTTCTGTCCCTGTTAAGCTGCGGGGCCAGAGAAAGCCTGTGGAAAACCTGCCTGGAGGCTTCTGGACCGGTGTTGCTGGGGTGGGGGGAGGTGGAGGTCAGGGGGCCCTCCCCTACCCTGCACCCCTCTCCAGGCTGGCGCGGGAGTGCACAGGGAGGGGCCGGAAGTGGCCTTCCGAGCCCGTATACCGGCGCGGCTCTGGACCGTCCCGCCTGCCGGGGCTGCATCACCGACCACGCCCTCGGTGCAGCCCCGGGAGCCTGGCGATCCGCCCGCGAGCGCCTCCCGGGGCAGCTGCAGTTGGCCCTCCGCCCCGGCGGGCGGCGCTACTCGAGACCCGGCCGGGTGGCGCTCGGGCCCGGCTCCTCTCGGCGGCGGCGCACGGCGGTCCTGCCGTCCGCGGGGCGGGGACGCGGTAGCGGTGGCGGCGGCTCCCGGTGGTCCAAGCCCGAGCGCGCAGGCCCCTCCCGGCGGTCGGGGGCCGGGCGGGGCGGGGGCGCCATGTGGTTCATGTACGTGCTGAGCTGGCTGTCGCTCTTCATCCAGGTGTCCTTCATCACGCTGGCCGTCGGTGAGAGTGCGCGCCCCCAGCCCGCGCGGGCTCCCTCCTTCCCCGGCATCGCTGCTCGCGGGGGTCGCGCCGCCGGGGCGCCGGAGCGACCCGGAGACCCCTGCCTGGTGCTCCCGGCCCTCGCACCCCTCCTCCGGCCCCGCCCGGTCTTGCCCCTCCTGCTGACCCCAGCACCCGCCTGGCCGCAGGTCCTTCCAGGTGTCACACCGCCGCCCCTGGGGCCGGGAGCGGCTCTCAGTGCCCCGCGGGCGCACCGCCTGCCGCTGCCGCGCCCACCCTCCCGGGCCGACCGCGCCCAACTTGCCCCCGACTGCCGCCGCCCTTTCGCCCGCGGGCTCGGGCCTTCCAACTTCTTACTCTAACTTTGACACGCTTCCCCCTTCCGGCTAGTTCCTACTGTGGATCTCAGCAGAGATCGCACCTCCTCCGGGAAGCCCACCGTGGGACTTGATGGTCCTACTTTCCCTAAAATAGCGCTTGTCACACTGGAATCCTCAGTTTCCTACCCCCCCCCCACACACACACCCTTACCCCCACGCCCACCGCTAGCTGGGTCAGAAAGGGACATGTCTTTACTGCAATCGCAGCACTCAGCCCAGCACCTGGCCCATATATTTACTGAATGAGTGAATCAACTTCCTCTTTACGGGGTCAGAGGTTAGCAGAGTTGCCGAGGCATCCGATACAGGTTTCCACTTCCATGAAATCTCTCCTTAGTTTTACTTCTTCAGACTTCGGAGGACAACACATGGGTTGTTTGGTTTGTTCCTTGACTTCTGGAGTCCATGAGGGGTAATGGGGACCCAGCTGCAGAGAATGGGGTGACAATGATGGTGGGAGTGACCCTGGCTAATGTTCTCTCTGCTTGCTCCTCTTCCTGTCCCCGCAGCGGCCGGACTCTATTACCTGGCGGAACTGATCGAAGAGTACACAGTGGCCACCAGCAGGATCATCAAATACATGATCTGGGTAAGTGGCCTCTTCCCCGGGGTCCACCCTCCCCTACTGCCCTGCCTCCAAAAGAAGAAGTGGGGCAAGTGTGGCGTGGGTGCTGAGACCTTGACCCTGCTGTTTCCTGCGGCGGAGGGCCCACCCCCGTGCCTTGCCCTGTTCCTTGTTCTCCGGGTCTGCTCTCCTGGGCCCAGGTCTTTGCCTCCTTCCCCAAGTCACGTTGCTTCACTGCGGACCCCATTCTCTGTGCCTTAAGGTGACAGCTGAGTGCTCATTCTCCGTTGACAGGACTGTGGCTTTGCCTTTGCTTGGCTGTCTTCCACTGTCCTAGCCCCTTGCTCTCTGCTCACAGCACTTAGAACTGAGAGGAACCTTAAGGACAGTTTTGAGTGCTTGCTCATTGGGTCAAGGGATTAGTCCTAAGAGGGGGATACCTTCCCTGGCCCAGGCCCTGCCCTCCCCAGGTCTCGCAGAAAGTTTCTCTTTCTGAAGACACAAAGCCTTTATGTCACAGCCACAGGGGTGACTGCTGGTGGATAGAATCCTGCCAACGGCAGGAAATCTGGGGACAGGGGTGGGAGCACATGTGGACAGGAGCCCAGTGCCTGTCAGGTCACCAGGTGTCAGGAGCCACTTCCACTCTGGGCTTGGCCTGAGGTAGGGAGTTAGTGGTGGAGACAAGTGGTGGCTCTCAGCCCTGGGTTCAGAGGTCCCGCTCATGGGTGTTGGTACAGGAATTTGACTTTCATTTAACCAACTGTCCTTTGTTAAGCACTGACAACTAAGTCCTTCCGAACAGCGTTTTCATACTGCAGGTATGATTCATTACTGGGTTGTGTTACCAGTTCATTTGGCCATGATTAGCATACAAGGTGGACTAGAAAAGACTAGAATTGAAATTTGAACTTTGATCATATATATGTACGTGTGTTTTGGGGTCAGTGTAAACATTTTCTTACTGTGGGTGGCTGTCAGACATTTTGAGAATGGCATTGAGAGATGCTACCCTTTAAAGATGCCACCCGAGAGGCTAGGTGGGGAGATCAGACCTGCGACTGAAATGAGGTGAGATTGAAGCATGAACCTAGTGTTGCCCCAAGTGGGCTGGGGGCTAATGAGTCCAGGAAGACTGCCTGGAAGAGGCTCCCTGCACTGTGTGCCTCTGGTCGTTTCAGTTCTCCACAGCTGTGCTGATTGGCCTCTACGTTTTTGAGCGCTTCCCCACCTGCATGATTGGCGTGGGCCTCTTCACCAACCTCGTCTACTTTGGCCTCCTCCAGACCTTCCCCTTCATCATGCTGACCTCGCCTAACTTCATCCTGTCGTGCGGTGAGAGGGGGCAGAGTTGAGGAGGCAACTGAGGTAGTTGGATGTGCCCAGCCCAGCTCGTGGCACCGAAGGGGTTCTAGGGAAAAGAGGCGAAGCACCGAGGGCCTCCACACATGGAGAAGCCTAGAGCCCACCTTGACTCAGGGACTAGAATTGGTGGGAGTGGAGGGGGGTGGGATACTCAGACAGGGAGGGCTTTCTCGGGGAGGTAAGTATGAAGTAGGTTTGGGAAGAGAGAAAGGTGGGCTTGCTGAGTACTTAGAGCCCCTAAGAAACTACTTGTTCAGGAAAAGCTCAAAGCCCTGGCAGGCGGCAGCTCCCCATCCAGTCCTCTGGCCCAGCTTTAGGACTATAGTTTCATGGGGCTGGGGGCTCCCTGCTGACAGCTGCCTGGGGGCTGATGCATGTGTTGGGAGGACCCCAGCCTTCCTGCCTTTGCCCTGCCCCCACTCCCTGGCCCTCAGGAGTCATATCCCCTCTCTGGGCCTTAGCCTCTCCATTTGTTCCAAGCTGATGTGTAGGAGACTCAGTTGGCACAAGCAGAGACTTAGAGATATTTGTAGGTATTCACAGAAAACCTCTGGAAAGCTTTTGGTTACCAGCATTGCCCTTTCTCCCAGTAATCATTACTGGTCATCCTAGCCTTCGGTCAGGACATCAGATGGAACTGGGGATTTTGTAGAACGACTTTTCTATTTCTGTGGGAGAGCCCGGGAAGAATATTACCCACAAGGAGGGCACAGTGTGAAAGCCAGACCTGGTCTCTTCTCTGCAAGCCTTGGTAGGATTTTGCCAAAGGGTTTGTTCACCAGGGTTTGGTTGGGGAGCCCTTCCCTGGAGACCAGGCCCTTTGCGTCTTTTTAGGGAAGAGGGTCCTGCACCCCATTTCCCCGACTCCTGCCCCCAGCAGCAGGCTGCCCTTCAGGTGCCTTAGTTTTTCTGAAGATTTTGTGGGCATCAGGCACCGTCCTAGTGCTTGAGTGCTTAGGCACGTAGAGCCGCGGTCTCTGCCTTGGAAGGGAGAGGCACGGGAGGAGACGAGACGTGCCAGTGGCTGAGGTGTATGTGATGGGTGCTCATGGGGATGCTTTGTTCTGGTGCCGCCCTTGACCACACATGGGATCAGGCCGGGCTGCCTGTCTGTGAGCAGCCTGTCCCCAGGATCTGCTCGCTCTCTCTCCCCCATAAATCCGGCCGCACACTAAGGAGGTGTGTGGGGTCCAGAACATACTAGTTCAGACCAGGGGGCCTTACCCTGGGGCAGGTTAAGGAAAGACCCTCTCCCCCAGAATGTTGAGGAACCCTCAGGCTGCACCCCCAAAGTGCCTAGCAAACTGTGCCCTTTTATTCTTGAGGAGTGCTCTTTATTTGAGGCGTCCTTCTCCCTGCTGCCGAGTTTGGAGTGGAATCTCATGGGAGGATGTGACCTCACACCCATGACTTCCTCCACCCACTACCCCCAGGAGAGCTCGCTAGGACTCGCTGAAAACCAGCTTAATTGTCACGGTGCTTTGGAGGATGTGACACTGAGTCTCGTTTTTATAACATCCCAAGGGCTTTCCCTACCCCCTAATTTTACTCATAAATGCCCTCTGCAGTGGCGGGTGGGGGCTAACTCGCCCATTTTAACAAATGGAAAACTGAGTCTTTGAGTCGGGTGGGTGTAACGTTAGGACTAAAACTCGGGGCTCCCAACCCCCTGGAGCCTTTTGAAGGTTAAAAGTCCGGCTTTTACGTTATTCCCCCAGACTAACTGCCTCTCCATTCCCTCAACAGGCCTAGTGGTGGTGAATCACTACCTAGCATTTCAGTTTTTTGCGGAGGAATATTATCCTTTCTCAGAGGTAAGGAGTGTTTGGTACATCAAACTATTAACAGGGACAGGAGGATAAAGGGGACTTGCAAGATTTGCTTTGTGAACCTAGCTATGATTTGAAACTGAGCCCATTTAGGGATAACACGTTGTTTAAAACTTAGTAGAGATGATTTTAGGAAGCAGCGTGGGAGAGGAGCAGGGATCCCTTCGGCTGAGATGGGGAAACAGCGCCCTCCCCTAGTGAGTCCTTTGGGTCTCCCAGGATCCCAGCCTAACACCCGGAGGTCAGGAAGGGTCAGTGGAGTGCCCTTGTGTGATGGGTTGGGTGGGCTGCAGCCCGAACCCTCGTTCCCCCCAGTGCCCTGCCAAGGCCTTCTCCACACCCTGCCACTGCAGTCTGGACCCCTGGGAAGAACAAGACCGCTTCTTTGGGGAGTGTGGGTCAGAGAAGTCCCTTGTCCTAGCGACCAATAATTGGGGATTGTGGCTCATGAGTCATCTTCAGCCTGCCCCTTCCCCACTGTCCTATCTCCGTGTCCGAGGATGTCCTGTCTCTGCTTCCCAGGCCCTGGCCCCCTGCAGAGGCCAGGTGTGGGGGCTTCTGTGACGGCTTGACCACCTCTCAGATACAGCGTGGCCAGGCCCCGCCCACCCTTGGCGCCTCCGGGGGCACCCTCTTCTCAGTGTCTCTTGTTGCTAGGTCCTGGCCTATTTCACTTTCTGTCTGTGGATAATCCCGTTTGCGTTCTTCGTGTCACTGTCGGCTGGGGAGAACGTCCTGCCCTCCACCGTGCAGCCAGGAGGTGAGAGGGCTTTGTGCGGGGTCTCGGTGGGAGGACGCCAGCAAGGCCTGAGCCGGTGGGGGGGCCGGAGCCCAGCCCTGTGACCGAGACACTTGGGTTTCAGGTGGAGAGAGCTGTGCTCACTTTCAGACACACACACACTCATCTCCCTGCCTGTGTCTCCACAGATGACGTGGTCTCCAATTACTTCACCAAAGGCAAGCGGGGCAAACGCTTAGGGATCCTGGTTGTCTTCTCCTTCATCAAAGAGGCCATTCTACCCAGTCGTCAGAAGATGTACTGACGCCCCTGGGGAGGGGATGTTGGGGCAAGATCAGGAGAGTCAGGCCCCTGGGCCTCTCTGTGAGCCTGGAAGGTTCCTTCCCCCAGCCCTGGCCTGACTTCCTTCAAGTCTCCCTGGAGCCTCCATCCCCACCTTCCTTGGGATGCGCAGCTGGGCTCAGATCTGGTGCTGCTAGAGGCCGTGACCTCAGGCACCAGGGAGGGTGGCGGAGCCTGCTTGGCTGGAGGCCGTGGTCCACCTGGCTCTGTGGAAGCTGAGCTCCCCGTGGCCCTGCCCGCCCCTTCCATGCTGGGTCAGGAGGCTCTGGCTCAGTCGAGGCGGGCAGGGCAGGGGCCTTGAAGCTGGAGAGCAGACAGGGATAGGGTCTTCGGGCAGATGGCCATGGGGCAGGGCCATGGCTTGGCAATTCCCAGGAACTAGTTTTTGCTGTTGAACTGTGATTTTTGTCCAAGTCTGATTCCTGTTTGAATAAAGATTCTAGGTGGCACTTGTTGCCTTAATACCCTGAAAGTTCATCTTCCTTTCTTCCTGCTGACCTTCTGCCCTGGCCTGGATGGGCTTTTCGGCTGCAGGGGTTCCTTTCCTGGGATTGGGCCTTGCCTTTCTGAAGGGACTGTTCTTATGTCCCTTAGTGGGAAGGGGGCAGAATGAAGAGCTGAGCCTGGTTAGGGGGTGGGGAGTGGCAGGTGAATGCAGCCTTTCTTATGACCCCCCCTCACCCCCCGCCTTTTCTTCAATCTCTTCTTTCCCCAAGGCTCCATGACTGTCAGGCGGGGGGCAGAGAGAGAGAGAGCAGTTTGGGACTGGGTTAGATTTTCAGAGCAACTTCTACAATACCCTATTTATAAGTCTTCCCCTGGAGAAAAGGAGTGGTTTCTGGCAGAATTCTATGTCAGGCTCAAGGAGAAACATAACTTGACTGCCAGCAGTGTGGGCTATGGCCTGTTTTGTCAGAAATAGGCCTGGTGGAGGAAGCCGTGTGTCCCTGAGAGCACACGGGCTGGCCCCTTTCCTGTGTGCTCGGCTCCTGAGGAGATGACCTCAGGCCTCTAAGCAGGCAGGCGAGATCCCGGGCACGGACCAGCATTTTTTAACCTTGCACTCCAACTACAGTGCCTTGCAGATACTCAGCACTACATAGCGGAATGAAGTCCCCATGAGAGCCATTACTGGCCATGTCGTATACCTCACAGCGAGGGTAGCAGGTGCAGCGATGGGCTGCACACATGTAGTATTTTAAGTCCCTGTGCTGAACATCTTTCCTCCACATCCTGCCTCAAGTCCCACAGTAGCCCTTCCCTTCCTTGGCTCTAGCATTTCCTGTTCTCTTAACAATACCAGCCTTCCCCTTTCCTTGGGAGGAGCAGCACACGTGGGTCTTCTCTCAACGGGAATTAGATTGCCAGGCCCCTTTATCCTATGCAGACTAGGGGATCCAAGGTAGACACCGGGGGCCAACATCATCCTCACTGCTGGGCCAGTGCTCTCCCTCCGTCCTCTTTGTTCCTCACCCCGAGGACGCGGCTTCACCTCCTCCATGCGCTCCACTGTCAGTGCTCTCGCGAGTTGCCAGTGGTCTTTTTGTGCAAATCCAGTGAACCCTTTCCACCCCTTACTGGGTTTCTGCAGCATCTGACAGGGCTGACCACCCCCAGCTCCCTGAATCGCACTTGTATGGCCATTTCTCCTCCTACCTCTGTGGCTTCTTCTGGTGCCCTATGCAGGCTTCTCCACGCGCCCTACGGTGGGGTTTCTCAGGGTCCTGTCCTGGGCTCCCAGGAGGAGCCCATCCATGCTCATGGCTTTGACTCTTTGCCAAGGAAGTGAGAGTTGACTTCCAGCCCCAACACCCCTCCTGGGCTTCTGAACCGGTTCTGCTGCCTTTGGGCGCACAGCTCCTTTCACAGCCCAGCGGCACTTGCTGCCCTCTGCAAACCTGCCTCTTTTGGGCACCTGCTGTGGCCCCGAGATCACTTGGGCACCAAACCAGAAACCTGCTTTCTATTCCTGCTTTCTCCTTTTGCCCCCCACATCCAGTCTCTCAAAACTGTCAAGTTTGCCTCCTTACCATCTCTTGAGAGTAGAGCCACTCCCACCGTCATCAACTTTCACCTGGGTTATTGTGACAGCCGCCTCCGGCTCTAGGTCCCACAGCTAGAGTTGTCTTTCTAAAATGCACAGTTGATCACGTCACTTCCTGGCCTGCACCCTCCCATAGCTCCCCTCTGCCTTCAGGACAAAATCCAGACCCTTAGCACGGCTTTGAGACACGCATCCTGCTTCCTGCTCGCCTCTCTGGCCTCATCAGGCGCCACCTCGCGCTCTGGGTCCTGGCCTCCTGTATCCGGAGATGCCGCTTTTCTTCCCCTTCCATTCACCAGGGCATCTTCTCTGTTAGTTCTCCACTTAAGATTTTCCTTCGTCCAAGGAGCTTTCAACGTCCCCTCCCCCTGCCCACTCCAGCACACCACACACATCACGGTGGGCTTACTTGCCTGTGTACTGGTCTATCTCCTCACTAGACTGTAAGCTCCTTGAGGGCAGGGACTGTCCTTCAATTTTTGTATCAACAGCGCCTAGCTTGGTGCCTGGCACATGGAAAGCACTCAATAAACATTTGTTTAATGAATGATTTGTAGTGATGTGTACAGCGGACAGCAGGCTAGCTTCCTGGAGGAAGTACAGGTGCTTTCATAGTCTCGAACTAAAGCCATGGGTCCTTCCTGCCTCCCTCCCCCACACATGCCCCTGTGCCTCCCTGCCCTGCGGAAACCATAGTGGCAGGGAAGCCATGGCAGGGTGACACGTTAGCCGTCTGCCACCCCATCTGGCTCTGGAGGTGAAGCATGAGGCCTGGAGTCTCTAGTAGAAGGACTTAGACTGAACAAGAGGCAGACTTCCCAGTGGTTCCTCAGCCTGTCCCTGCTGGGCTGTTTGGAGGGAGGTGGGAGCAAGGGGACACCAAAATGTTACTTTGACAAAGCCAGAGCCTAGGATACAGACTGACCCCACTCTGAGCTCTGGGCTGCTGCCCTCATTTGAATCTCTCAGGTGGGTCTCCAAGGATCCGGGCTTTTGCTGGGGGGCAGGGCTCTGACCCTTCATCTTGGGAATGGGAAGCCTGTGGGCACTCCTTCCCTTGTTCCCTGTCCCGCAACATAAATGACCACAACTCAGCCTTCACTAGCCTGCGGCAGCTCCAGAGGCTACCGAAATAGGTTTATGGCGGGGGGGGGGGGGGGGGGGTTACGGGCAGGGCAGAATGGGGAGCCCCTGATGGGCTTGCACTGTTGCCAGGAAGGCTTCGTCAAATGTTTCACGTAAGTTCATGGCCAGAGTGTCGGTCCAGAAGGTGTTGTCGCCCAAGTACCGCTTCCGGTCCACGTCCTTTATGCTGACAGAGTGGAAGCCCTGGGGCACCTTCATCCTGCACGGCCGCATCTGAGGGTACAGCTCACGGACTATCACCTCCAAAGGCAGCCGAGGCACAGGGGCCACCTCCTTGCCAGTCACCGTGTGCAAGTGCGTACCACCTTGCCCATCAGACCTGATCTTGAGGAATCCGCTGAAGTCGTGCTCCAGGCTGGGCTCTGGATGCACACCCAGGCGGATGCCCTGTGGGGAGCCGATCTGGGCGGTGGGGGATCTGGCAGGGTTATTGCTAATATTCCACGGCTTGGACTGCCTAACTGTGGGATGCATGTAGTGGGGTGTGGATGTCACCGAGGGCTGCGGCTTGGGCTGTGGTGTCTGTTGCAGGTGCTCCTCTGGGGAGAGGTGGAAGTGCTTGGACAGGTTGGGGGTCTTGGAGACAGGGATGGCCCAGGGAGGGGCTTGGGGCTCTTGCTTAATGCTGTGGATCAGAGATTGGCCTCGAGGCAGTGGCTTATGATCGAGCCACTTCTTGAAATCAGCTTGTCTCAGAAGTTGTTGTTCTTCCTGCAATGTCAGAGGGCACAAGATAGTGGAGGCGGGCTGCTCCCTCTGTGCTTCTGTGGAAGGAGACCCTGTGGCTATAGCCCTTGGGAACCTCAGGTGTGACTGGTCAGACAACATCCTACCCTAGGAAGCCCTGAGTCTGATGGGAGAATCTCCTGCCTTATGGGAGCCCTTGTTCTGATGGGGAGACAAGTACTGCCCAAAGGGAGCCCCTGGGCTGAGGGGCTCCAATCTGACGAGACCCATCCTCCACCCTAGGTGAGGTCTTCAGCTGGAGGGGGAAGGTGCGGTCTCTGCCCTACAGAAAACCTTGAGTCTCGAGGGAGGATCCCATATTGGTAGTGAAGACATATCCTGCCCTAAGAGTCTCTGGTTTGATGGGAGGGAAAGGCCTATGAGAAGTGCAAGTTGCATCCTTGGCCCTGGATGGAGAAAGCAGAAATGTTTGGGAGGCCTGGAGCTGGTGGTGCGAGTCTGGGCAGCCTTCTGGGAGGGGGTTGACTGGCCTTGAGCAGTCACGTAGGGGGACACCGCTGGCTCTCCAGGCTGGGTGGGAGTCACTTGGTCTAGCTGTCTGTTCTTGCTTCCACTACAATTGAACCTTTGGCTCATCACAGATCTGTCCCCTCCCAACCCCCTGTCTCATGGCTCACTTCTCAGGCTGTTGCTATCAGGCGGTTTGGAGATTGACCCAGCTCTGGAGGTAGGCTCTGATTAGGCTAAGCCTCTCAGAATAATTCCATCAGCCTTGCCCCAGACCTAGGTCAGTCAGCACATGGCTTTCCTTTAGCTTGAGGGATTGGAACAGGAGTGGACATATGATCCCGCTGAGGCCAATAAGAGATGAGGGGAGATCTGCAGGGGCCTTATGGGAAAGTTTAGAGCCACAGGAACCGATGGGCTTTGCCAGTTCTGGACACAGGTGACTGTGAGGACTGAGAGCAGGTAGGGCTGAGAAAATGAGAGAAGTGCGGCCGGAGCAGAGCTGGAGCCCTCCATTTGCCAGCTCCCAAGCCCTCCCCGCTTCTGGATCCACTTAGCATCTTTTCTGGGTTTTCTGGCTCTTGCATCCTATGTAATTAACCTGCTTAAAATCCTTTAGTGACTTCTTCCCCAGCCAAGGCCTGTCATTGACCTGGGCCCCTGCCAAATCTCTAGCTTGTCACATCGGAACCCCTGACTGTACTGAATTTGCACTTGTTGGCATACACACTTCTATGTGCCTCTGTGCCGCTGCGCTGCGCCCCCCCCCCCCCCCCCACACACACACAGGGCTGTCTGTTCCTTCAGCCTGGTCAGCCCTTCCCTACTTCCTCATATGGCCAACTGCTACCATCGTTAAAGACTCCTCTTAGGTATTATTCTTCTGGCACCTCCTGAGCCCCTTCTCTGTGGGAATATAACCCACCTCCTCTACTAAGCTCTAAGTTCCTTGAGTGAGAGGACCACCTTTCATTGGTCTTTGGAGCCTCAGGGCCTAACAGGTGCCTAGCAGAGAGTATGTTGGAAGATTTTTTTTTTTTATTAATCTTCACCCCAGGATATTTTTTCCACTGATTTTTAGAGAGAGTAGAAGGCGCGGGGGGGGGGGGGGGGGGACATCAATGCAAGAGAGAGACATCTATTGATTGCCTCCCACATGGGCCCCTACTGGGTCTGGGGAACCTGCAACCAAGGTACATGCCCTTGACCGAGAAGCGAACCAAGACCCTGGGTCTGCAGGCCAATGCTCTAACCACCGAGGAACCAGTCAGGGCAAGATGGGTCTTTTAACCAGTGTACTTCCCAATAAGGCAGGACCTGGGTCTCACTAGAGATTCTCCTCCTCCCCAGAGGGAGGCACTGGGCTAGGGGGGAGGGGCCTCATAAATACTTGCTAATTTAAGCTGCTTTAGTTTTCTACCACAAGACAGGCTTTTGACCTAAAGAAGTGGCTTCTCAGGGTAGAATTTTAGTCAGAGGAGGGGGAGAAGGAGGCTCTCTGGATGGGACGGCTTCTCGTCACTAAGGGCACACGCGATTCATGCCTCTGCTCACACGCCTAGGTAGCAGCTGATGCCTGGTGCCCTACCTGATACTCCGTCTGGTAGTACCGCTCCATGAAGGCCAGGCGGCCTTTGAGCCCCTTCAGCTTCCCCATCTCACAGGCAAAGTCCTTCTTGTCCCGTTTCCACATGGCATCCTTCAAGAACCTGGTGCCCAGGTGAGGATGTGTCCTCCTCAGTGACTGGGCTTCAACCTGGAAGACTGGCTGCTGCTGAGGGCTGGGGTGGGCATGGGAGGGGCTGCCAGAGTCAAGATGAGCAACATGATGCACCTCCACTGTCCAAGGCCCCTCTGGCTAACTACTTCCTGTGAGGTGAGGGGCAAGCGTCTGAGGGACTGATCACTACCCTCCTGATGAGGAGCCAGGGGCAGGAAGGCAGGGCTAAACCACAGGGGTGAGGCCTGTGGAAAGTCCCTGGGGAATAATATCCTGGGAAGACTTATCCCCCAGCCACTGGCTTCTCAGCCGCCCTCCTAAAGGCTCTGAATGGGTGAGGGCCCAGGAGCAGGGCTGGAGATGGCTCTCACACACTCACCGAGCACAGACGCGGTGGTTCCATATTTTGCAATAGTCGATGGGCTTGCAGCCTATGGCATCTTGGGCATGGACATTGGCGCCATTCTTCACCAGGACCTTGATACAGCTCAGCAGGCCCTCCCGGGCTGCCAGGTGCAGCGGTGTGGAGCCATTGCGTGTCTGACTGTGGAGGCCCGCCAAGGGGAAGACGGCAGTAAGAAAGGACAAAGGGCATCTATCCATCAGGTTGGCGGGCAAACTGGCTTCCAGGCCTGCTCTGCCACCAGCCCATTGGGTGACCCTGGCATGTCCCTTCACTGTCCCTCAGTGTCCTCAGCTGTAGAAGGAGGATTTGGACTGAGCGGTCAAAGTTTAGTTATGGGGGTGTGGACAGTGCAGAAATGCTGGAAGGAAAGCTGGGTCTGCTGGACCTCAGAGACCCCTAACCTCATCCTCGGAAAGCAACCAGCCCTCTTGCCTCCTCCCCATGCCCGGCCGTGGCCCACAAGCCTGTGCGCCCTGGGCCCGGCCTCATCCTCCACCTCATCCCCTGACCTTGTCGCACTCTTTCCTAACACATGGCCTTTGCACATGATGTTCACTCTGCCTGGGACACTTTCTTCTGGCTCTTTGCATGGCTGGCTCACCATCCTCAGGGGGGACCTTCCATGTCACCACCTTAGAGGTGACTGCCCCTTCCAAAGAGCCTCTCCCTGCCCCTTCCCCTTCCCACCCAACGCCCCCATTTGCTCTCTTCCTACCCTCTGTCATTTCCTCATTCATCATTGTGCTCATTTACTATCTGCTCCTGCACTCGAAGGGTATCGGCTTCATGAGGGCAGGGAACATTTCTTTCTTTCTCTCTCTCTTTTTTTCATATATTTTATTGATTTTTTACAGAGAGGAAGGGAGAGGTATAGAGAGTTAGAAACATCGATGAGAGAGAAACATCGATCAGCTGCTTCCTGCACACCCCCCACTGGGATGTGCCCCCAACCAAGGTACATGCCCTTGACCGGAATCGAACCTGGGCCCCTTCAGTCCGCAGGCCGACACTCTATCCACTGAGCCAAACCGGCCAGGGCCAGGGAACATTTCTGTGTGCTCCCTGCTGGATCCCTCCCCCCTGACACGGTACTGAGCACAGAGTCCGTGCTGTGTGAGTGAACGCAGTCTCCTGTGTGCCGCCCATGCGTTTTCTCAATGATCACAATAGCGACAGGCACTGCCATCCTCCCAGATTTCAGTTGAAGACACCGAGGCGGTAAGTAGCTCCCAAGCGTTGCCGCAAACACAGGTGGATCTTTTAAAGCTTCCAAAGCCCGGACCACGCCCCAAGCTAATTAAGTGACAACCTCGAGATCGGCACACGGGGCGCTGGGCTTTTGGAAGCTCCCCACGTGATCCCAATGTACCGAAGGGCACAGACGTTTAGGGCGGAGCGACTGGCTTGGGGTCTCGATGGCAAAGCTGGGACGTGAACTAGGTCTGACCTCTCCCAGCGCCCGGTTTCTTAACGGGAACACCCTGTGGGCTCCATGTGGGACCCAGTCCTTGTTCCTCGCAGCCCCTCTGCCTGTCCTGCCGGGATCTGCCTGCCTGGAAGTGGGGTCCCCTCTGCCAGCCTCCACGCTGCCGCAGCTGCACTCACGTGTTGAGGGCCGCCCCGTGCTGAAGCAGATAGTGAACGCAGGGGAGGACCACGTTCCTGTTCTCCTTGTGGATGACGAGGTGCAGCGGTGTCTGGCCGTTCTTGGTGGGCAGGTCCACGGGAAACTGGTACTCCTCCACCAAGACCTGGAGGCATTCGAGCCTGCCTTTTTGGGCTGCAAAGTGGATGGCAGTGAAACCCTGTGGCGGCCAGAGGAGGGCAGGAGGGGGCTGAGCAGGATGGGGGCCCCAAGGTCCAAAACCGAACCTAGGTAGCAGTTCCTTGGGTTTCCCTTTCCCCCTCTTCCCTCTGACCCCCCCTTCTCCCCAGGAGTCACTCACGCCCCTTTTTTCACGCTGGTATGTGCTCACTCTTCCTTGATGCCCCCAAATGCCCCCCTCCCCCCCGCAGTGGGAGGTGAATTAGGACGATCTGCCCAGAAAAGGACACCTCTGGGTGCTCTTTGCCAGGTGAGCACTGGGTGAGGAGCTCCCGGCGGGAGGGGAGGATCCTTGCTCCTGCACACCAAAGCCTTCCTTACCTTGTTATCGGTGAGGATTCCCTCAAGGTCCGGATTCAGACAGAACCGCAACCATTCCAGGTTGCCCAAGGCGGCTGCGAACCACTCGCAATTGCTGCTCTCTACCCTCTCCTGGATCAGGCTGGATCAGCGCGGGGGTGAGGGGGTGGGGAGGGGGAGTGGGGGTGGGGAAGGGGGGGGTGGAGGGGAGGCAGGGGGGCTTGATCGGGAATCCAATCAGGCCAGCACTTGTGCACGAGGTGTTTATGGAGGCGGGGCCCGGGCTGGCTTGCCGGCGAGGAGGTCGCTACAGCTCTCCTGAACCCCCCTCGAGAGGCCAGCCCGGACCCCAGCCCAGCTTTCCGGGCCTCTCAGCAGCCTCCACCCATCCGCTCCGCTCCGCTCCAGGCCCTGCCCCTCCAGGGAGGCGCCGGGCGGGTTCCCACGCCGCAGCCGGACCACCTATTCCCCTGCTCACCTAGGCTTTCTGAAGATAGAGCTACTCCTGGGGACCCCGGAGTCCTTCTTCACCTGCTCTATCGAAACACGTGGTGTGGGCGGGGACTGTGCGCTCCTCCTCGCCCCGCCCCCGCCCCCGCCCACTGAGCAGCACCGCGGCGTCTCCAGGGTCCTGCGGGCCGGCGGAGGCTCGAACTCGTGCTGCGGCGGGGCGGGGCGGGGCCGAGCCGACGCGGTGTGAGGGCCCTGGCCTCTGCCGCCCCGGCCGACCCGCCCGCCCGCGCTCACTCCTGGAAACTCAGCATCAAACGCACACACCGCAGACTGAAAGGCCTTTGTTTCTGATTGTAAAATTAGTGAGCGCGGATTGTTCAAAACAAAACAAAACAAAACAGAAAAAGACAATGAAGAAAGCAAAACCGCAACCCCACCATTCACAGAAATCACGTCTATTACGACCCGCTATATCACTTCGGGTTATATTATGAGCTAACTTCGGTCGACATTCCCCTTGACAAACGCACATTGTGACGCAACCTTGGCCCAACAGCCGAATGGGTGCGCTGTCCTTTCCCACGCGCTGCAGGGAGCAAAATGGCTCCTCTGGTTGGTTCCTTCGCATGGATTCCTGGAAGTCCAATTCCTGGGTGACAGGAACGAACATTTTATTAGCTATTGACATGTGTCCAAACTGCCCTCCAGCAAGGTTTACACAACTGCGGCGGGACAAGTTACTTTGGGCGAGTTACCTTCTGTATCTCAGTTTCTGCATCAGCAAAAGGGGACACTCGAACCCAATTCACAAGGGGGAAGGGATGCAAATGAGAGGAGGCTGCCTGAGTAATTTGCTATTATTAAAAGGAACTCTTCCAACCAGCACTGGATATTAGGGTTTTAAATAAATGTTCGCTAATTTGTTAGTGGCAACGGTGTTCTGATTTGACTCTGATTACCAGCAAGGGTTAAACAATTGATTATCAGTGTTTTTCTCTTCTGGGACTTAATGTATCTCTTTTATTTCTTCGAGGGACTTAATGTATCTTTTATTGACTTATAAAACTTATTAACATAGTAACCCTTTATATATTTTTGTTGTTGTCAGTATTTTCCTCAGTTTGCCTTTTAACTTTTTAGAATATAGTCAGTCAGTGTTGCTTGAGTCAGTGTTGTTACTGAACAATCTATATTCTCACCCCTTCTCAATTAAAAATGGGCAAAGGACCTGAATAAACATTTATCGAAAGAAGATATATAAGTGGCCAATAAGCACATGAAAAGAAGCTCAACATTGATCATAAGGGAAATAAAAATCACAGTGAGCTATGTCACACCCACCAGGATGGCTATAATACAAACCACCGATAATAAGTGTTGTCCAGGGTGTGGAGAAATTGCAACCCTTGTGCACTACTGGTGGGAATGTAAAACTGGGTAGCTACTTCGGAAGTGGATTTGCAGTCTGGCAGTCCCTCAAAACATTACACATAAAGTCACCATCTGACACCCAGTCATTTCACTCTCCCTTGATGCCTCCAAATGGGGCATCAAGAGAAATGAAGACCTATGTCCACACAAAGACTTGTCCATGAGTGTTCATAGCAGCATTATTTATAGTAGCCTAAAGTGGAAACAATCATATGTCCATAAACTGATATATGGATAAACAAAAGTGGTATATCCATGCTGTGGAATATTATTTGGCAATAAAAAGAAATGAAGTACTGATACATGCTACAACGTGGATGAACCTTGAAAATATTATGCTAAGTGAAAAGAATCCAGTCACAAAAGACCACATATTGTCTGATCCAATTTAAATATATTTGTATTGATTTCAGAGAGGAAGAGAGGAGAGAGAAAAGCATCAATGATTAGAGAGAATCATTGTTCTGCTGCCTCCTGCAGGCCCCACAGTGGGGATCAAGCCCACAACCTGGGCATGGGCACTGACTAGAAATCGTACCGTGACCTCCTGGATCATAGGTTGACACTCAACCACTGAGCAACACTGGCCGAAATGTTCAGAATCGGCAAAGCCTAGGGCTTGGGAAGGGGCCGACAGGGGTTTGAGGGGTTGGTTAGCAGGACAGGGTTCCTTTTTGAAGCAATGGAAATGTTCTAAAATTGATTGTGGCGATGGTTGCACACTCTGTGAATATGCTAGAAGGTGTTGAATTGTACAGTAACAAATTGATAAATTGTAGAGTATGTAAATTAAGTCTCAATAAAACTGTTATTAAATGAAAACAACCCTATGCCCTGTGGATACCCAAAAGCTTTCCCTAAATGGCTGTGAATTGTCATGGGAATGGGACTTTTATCCCCAGGGTCTCCTGTGATGTCAGATCCTGATCCAAGAATTCTGGCTGGTCCCACAACACAATGACCCAGAAATAGATCTCAGCCCTTTTCTGGGAGTTCCATTCCTCCAGTCCTCCTTGCCTCTTAGCAAGTGTTCATGGCTTCCTTGTGGATGGGGCCGAGGAGACAGGAGGGATGGCGTTAAAGAAGGGCAGCAGCTTTCAAAGCAACATCCAGTATCCTGGATGCTCTTCACCCATTTTTAATTGGGGGCTTCTCAGCCTTTCACCCTCCTCCCCAGGTCACGCAGGCTCTCTCTCCAGCAACTCCCCTTCCCTTCCTGTCTGGGGAGCACACCGGACTCTTCCCTAGCCTCTCTTAGGCAGAGCTGGTGAGCGTCAGACGAATCTTTTGTGGCCTGGAGCCCATCCTCCACCCAAGAAATGTATCAAGATATTTCCTAACAAAGATAAATATCTTCCAAAGAGAAATTCTGCTGCCAGCTGCTAAAAGACACGGATGTGGCGAGGCTTTCTTGTCTGTTTTTAAAGTGGAGAGGATAATTTAGCGAACCTCCTGTACCCAGCTTGAACCATTAGCAGTGCTTTGCCAATCTTGTTTGCACATAAGAGAAACTCTTCACCTCAATTACTTTTCATTTGGGGGCTTTTAAAATACAAATACAAATGCTCCTATCAGAACAAGACATAGAACACAGGCTTGACAACCTGTTCTTTCCCAGCGCTAGGAAGCCAGGGAGAGGGATGGAGCGGAGCCGGCGGGGGCTGAGGGTGGCGCGGTTGGCTCAGGTGTATGGAACCTTCAGGATGGGGGGCGGAGCGGGGGGGAAGAGGGGTGCATGGGCGTGATGCGGCGGGCAGGGGTCCCAGGACGGGGCCGCGAACGGGGCTAGAATGCAGTGTCGGACGTGGTGTCCTGCGGCGCCGCCTCGCGGGAGTAGAACTCATCGACCACGCTCTGCGGAATGCGCTTCAGCATCTCCTTGGGGAAGATGCGCAACAGCTTCCAGCCCAGGTCCAGCGACTCGAACACCGAGCGGTTCTCATAGGGGCCTAGGGGCAGAGCACGAGTGTCAGTGTGTGTGTGTGTGTGTGTGTGTGTGTGTGTGTGTGTGTGGTGTGTGATGTGTGTGCGTGATGTGTGATGTGTGTCGTGTGTGTGGTGTGTGTCATGTGTGTGTAGTGTGTGTGATGTGTGTGGTGTGTGTGTGGTGTGTGTGTGATGTGTGTGTGGTGTGTGTGTGTGTGGTGTGTGTGTGTGATGTGTGTGTCGTGTGTGTGTGGTGTGTGGTGTGTGGTGTGTGTGTGTGTGTGTGTGTGTGTGTGTGTGTCTCGGGGTAATGGGGTTACTGCCTGAGCGCCCCAAGCGCCTCACCCTGGTTGATGAAATTCTTTTCGAACTTCTGCAGGAATTCCAGGTAGAGCAGATCCTCGGAAGTGAGCGCCTCTTCCCCCACCACGGCCTTCATGGCCTGCACATCCTTGCCGATGGCGTAGCAGGCATACTGGGGAGGGCAGAGGGGGCATGGTCACCGTAGGCTCATCCCCTGAGCCCTAGGGCCTCCAATGAGGGGTTTTGCCAGGAGAAAAGCTCGTGGTCTGGATGGGTCTCAGCCCTTCATCATCTGAAACCAGCCCCCCACTCCCCCCACCCGCCCCACCTCCACCTCCTGGAGCCCCTGGGCCCGCTCCTTCCTACCAGCTGGTTAGAGACATCGCCATGGTCCTTTCTTGTCATGCCCTCACCAATGGCGGACTTCATCAGTCGGGACAGGGAAGGGAGCACGTTGATGGGGGGGTAGATCTGGGGGCGCAGAAGGTGTGGCAGAAGGCAAGGTCCAGACTTTCCCTCCTTCCCACCCTGCTATTCCCCACCCACCCCCGTGGCTGTCAGGGGTCCTCCTTCATCCTACAGAGAAGTGGGTCGCACCGCCCTCCTTCATCTCTCACAAACTCTAGGGCTTGAGTGTGTAGGTGTCGACATGTGAAGGGGGGAGATGACATGATATCAGTTAATGAAAGCCTCACTATTTCAAAACGTTTGATTGTTGGACGAAACCAGGTTGAAGCTTAAGTTAGTAGCTACAAAGAAAGAACCTGCCCAGCAAAGAGGAAAAAGTCCTAGGGGTTGTTGCCTTGAACACCTTTGCTAACCCACTGGCACATTATTTACCACCTACTCATGCCGGTTACCCATTGTTTTCTGTTCCAAAAAGAGAAGAGAGGGGGTATTTCTTTAGTATCTACTATCTGCTAGGTGCTTTCTGTTTGCCAACGTATTTTATCTTCCAAAATGCAACTGTGTGATGAGTATTATTATTCCCATCTTAGAGAAGAGGAGACCTGGATCAGCGAGGTGAAATCATTTTCTCAGGTTCCCGGAGCCACGTAGGCTGGAGTCTACCCAGACCTGCCTCCTGTCCCTGAACCAGTCTTCCTGGGGGTCACCTGTGTGGGGTTAGCCTTGCCTGGCTTCTTCTCATTTACAGAGACACGAGGCACAGGACGGGGTGGAGAGAGCAGAAGGCGGCCGGGGAGGGGACAGTACCTGTCTGTTATGAAGCTGTCTGTCCACGTAGATCTGCCCCTCTGTGATGAAGCCGGTCAGGTCTGGGATCGGGTGGGTGATATCTACGAGGAAATTCACTGGCCTCAGTGTAGATGGGGACCAGGTCTCCATCCACCCAGGGCCACCTGGGTCCTTTCCCATCGTGGGAGTGAAGGAGTAGATGGGGGCAAGGAGAGGACAGTGTCTACCCTATGGAGGAACAGAACGACTGCACATCTGGGCAAGGAAGCACGGGCCCTTGAAGTGTGGGGTGGGCAGGGAGGGCAGGGGCTGCGGAGAGCAGTGGGCCGAGGGGAGGCTCACCGTCATTGGGCATGGTGAGGATGGGGATCTGAGTGATGGATCCGCCCCGGCCCGACACACGGCCCGCCCGCTCGTAGATGGTGGCCAGGTCTGTGTACATGTATCCGGGAAAGCCCCGGCGCCCCGGCACCTCCTCTCTGGCAGCTGAGACCTGCGACATCCATGGGCATGGGGATAAGAAGGGGGTGAGAGGCTGAGACAAGGAATGGTGACTGGAGGCTCAGTGACTATGGGAGATGGACTGGGGGCCGGCCTGGGTGGGCGAGCTCCGGGGTGCAGGGGCTGGGATGAACCTGATCCCCCTCACCAGCCACCTCACCTCCCGCAAGGCCTCGGCGTAGGAGCTCATGTCAGTGAGTATGACCAGCACGTGCTTCTCGCACTGGTAGGCGAGGAATTCAGCAGCGGTCAGTGCCAGGCGAGGGGTGATGATCCTCTCGATGCTGGAGACACGGTCAGGGTTGGAGTGCCTGTGCTCTGTGGAGCTCC